TTCACTGCCTCATCGAATAACTGAACCGTAAGCGAATCTCGACAATGGCTACGCCATTTCTGAACTCGAGGCAACTGATATGGCTCCGATGAAGAGACATCGTTATCTGACTTCTCAGAGGTGTTCTTACTTGATTTATAAATAGCAGTTTGTTTATTTTTACGCATTTTAGTTTAGATGAAAATGTTTTTTTTTATTCTTATTCTGCATCTCACGAACGGCTGCTTTTATACATCATGAGGAGCATTGCACAACTCTGCATCAGCTTCGAGAAACTTCCAAAATACTATTTATAAGAATGTTTTTTTCAAATGCAAATGCATTCCATGACTTTGTCGCTTCTATAGATTTTTATAGGGTATGAAAGAATAAAAGATTGTCAATATTTTTTCAACATAATGCGTTCGAAAGTAGGTAGTGTGAAGAATCGTAGGGAAGCGTAGCAACACCACCATACAATAACACAAAAAGTAACACGGCGCAAACGTCGCTAACCCTCTACTGAAAGTCGGTTACTATGATCAGAATTTGATTTATCTATTTATGAAAAGTATACGCGCGGTCGTTCAGTTATATCATATCTTCTCTCTTTCTCTTTCGACCGGTGTGTTTCCTCTTGCCTGGAAGGAAGCTATTATACGTGCCATACATAAGAAAGAAAGCAAGTTACTCGTCAAAAACTATCGTCCTATTTCACTATTGTCTAATGTTAGTAAAGTGTTCGAGAAACTGATCTACAAGCATTTATACTCGTTTCTATGCACAAAAAAGTTTTTTAACCCAACTCAGTTTGGATTTCGTCCGAGTACTTCAACCGTAGATGCACTTCTTCTTCTCACTCAAAACGTTTACCAGCACCTAGAAAAAAAGTGCAAATTAATTGGCATATCATTTGATTTTGAAAAGGCGTTCGGCACTGTACCACATCATATTCTACTACAAAAACTGGCTAAAGCAGGAATAGGCGGAAGTCTTTTGAACTGGTTCGCTTCTTATCTTTCAAATCGTACACAAAAAGTTTCTGTGGGCTCTGTTTTTTCTTCTTCTGTTCGAGTGTCGTCTGGAGTTCCTCAGGGCAGTATCCTTGGCTCAATTTTATTTCTCATATTTATAAATGATCTTGCACCATCTCCCAAATCTTCTCTTCTTTGTTGTCTTTTTGCTGATGATGTCTTCTGTGTTACAAACATTTTCGAGGCTCAAAAATGTATCAATGAGCTTGTTCGCTGGTGTGATATTAATGAGGTCAACTTAAACATAAACAAATGACTCTGGATTTTATTTTCAAACTCTAGTAAAATGCTTCCTTCACTCACTCTTTCAATAAACAACGTTGATATAGAAAGAGTTTTGTCTCTTAAGCTTCTTGGCATGGTTATTTCATATAATTTAACATGGAAGGCTCACATTGAATATGTGTCAATGAAATCTCGTCAAAATCTGCACCTAGCTCTTTTCTTCCGCGAATCTCAAAAGATTGGAATGAACTACCTTCTGTTTTAGCCTCTCAAACTTCTTTAGCCACATTCAAAAATATGCTGCGAGGTTACTCAGGCTTTTAATAATGTTATTTTGTTTACTTATTTATATTTTTAAATTTTTTGTTTTAGGTTATCAGAGGGTATCCACGGATGCTACAAGATTTTTTTTTGTTTTTTTGTGATATCCTGCTCTTTAGTAAATAAATCTTATCTCTTCACAGAGTTTAGCTCTAGCTCTGGAAAGCAAATCGTCTTCTGTGACAGGATGATATGAATGACTCGAAAAAGCTATGCGAGCTTGCCCGTACTCCTACACTGTTTGCGAGATCGACGAGAGATTTCGAGTCTCAAACGATCTATATCAGCACTCATTGTCTAACCTGCTCTCACGATCACGAAAACCTCTGCGCGCGGGGTAAGCTACTTTACCCCCAACCTGAGAAACATAAAGACGATGAAGCACCTTTCACCCATTGAAATAAAACCACCGATCAACCAAGGGATGGATTGAGCTCTCAAAACCGTATTCTCCACAAACAGAGAGACAGTGAACTGGAATGCGTCATAGCACTCGATATTCTAGCTCATTAGCACGAAAAAAAACCAAAAAGGCGCGAAAGATCAATGAAGAGAGAAAGAGAGATCCTTCTTCATCTGACGGCATAAAAACCTTCACTATCGATCAACCGACAACAGATTCCACTGTGGTTTTTAAAGCAGGTTACAGACAGACAGACAGTCGGTCGGACAAAATACATAATTACCGTTTGACAGACCTTATCCTTTCAGTCTAGGGAATATACTCACACTCACGCTGAAGTCCAATACAGAATGAAGAGGCAGACATCGTTTATTAATTGTCATAATAATAATGAAAAACTTTACGGGGCTCGGAGCTGACACAATCGCTGCCAGTCTTCGAAGAGTCTTCATCTGCGTCGGTCCCTGATGATTCGTCCGAACTACCAGATGACGATGTCGAAAAGCAGTCTTCTTCGTCTGACGAATGTAATTCAATCATTCGTATTCTTTTGAGTAAAGATTCAATACGTTTTTCTTTTTCGAAATACGTACTATTTTCATAGATCTGCTTGGCTTTGGACAAATATTCACAAGCAGATTTGAACTGGCGCAGTTTTATATTAATTTTAGCGGTCTCGCAATGACAAATTGCGATTCCATGCATAACAAAGTTCCTTATAATTTCTGAAACCTGTTGATTCGCTTCAGAATGTCTCATACGATATTCAAGTTCCTTCGATTTATAATGAAGAGCTAAATTGTAGTCTTGTTTCAGATCAGTATACCATCGACACATATCTCCGTAGATAAACACAATCTGGCTGAATTCCGGCTTATCTTGTACAAGGTGGATTTCGACGGCTTTTTCATAGTTAGCTGAAGCTTCCTCCCAGAGATATATGGACCCTTGTAGCTGAGCTAAACGCTGCAAATTCTCTGCCACTTTTACATGTTTAGAAGAATAATATGCTATCGCTTCTTCCAGCTCCATTTTTCTATATCTGATAGCATTCAGTGTATTGCTCTCCTTTTCCCCTTCATCACTATTTATGCCTATCTTACTGTTATAGCTTAACGCTAGAGTGGAGTATATATCAAGTTTCTGATTTGAGTTTATCGCGTGCTCCAAAGATGAAAGGCAGTAAGTAATTGCAAGGTTCCAATGTTCGTTGGCGAGAGGATGATCATCCAAATTATTTTCATAAATAGAAGCCATTTCATAATGAACTTCACCCATATCATGGTTTATATTTAACTCCTTATCATTCAGAAATTGTTCATAAATTTCCAAAGATCTCTTATAATGTGATAGTGCTTCATTGTAGTTTTTTACAGTATGACCTGCGTAGTGTTTTGCGAGATAATCATATTTAACGGCTTCAAGCCATCCTCGTTCACTGGAGAACAAGTCGTCCAATTCATCAAAAATAAGATTTATTTCTTCGATTGTTGCTGTGTTAAGTCGATTCACAGCACCCTTACTGAAGCAGTTTTTTAATATTTGTCTTGTATGTGTGCAGTCGGTTAAGTCATTATCCTCTGACGCATGATAATCTCTGGCTAACAACAGTTTTGCTACGTAGATATGCATCTCTTCGTTGTAAAACACGTTGACAACTTTCAACGCAGTTCCAATCATCAATAGAAAGAAACTGTCGATTATCACGTGTTTGAAATTAGTGTCATGTTCTCTTCTCGATGTAGATGTTCTTCTACGATCGTTTTTCTCGGGGTATTGGAATAATATTGAATTTCGTCTTCGCTTGTAAATTGAGATAGATGGCAAATATTTCCAAAAGGAAGAGATTGATCGCGAATGTCCAATTCGATTTCAAACAAGATGCTTTGTAATTGATCATCTGGTCGTGTGAGAGTACTTAAATATACCAATGCTAAACCACGATCGAGTGATGTCGAAGTAAAACTAGTAATGGTAATCCCAGGACTGTCCACCTCTTTGATTTGTTTTATTTCATCGACTGATATCATTTGTCCTCGATAAACTTTTAGTAGAGGATCAGTCGAATGACGACTTCTTAAGTTTCGATGTTCATTTTTCAGTTGCTTGTACATATCTTTCACATAGAAACCGAATAAAAACATCAATTGTATGTTATGTTGGCGAAGTGCTTTGTTGAGAAGACGATAGATAAATGTATCACATGTATACCACCAAATCGCTCTCTCAGGAGTGTAGTCACGCTCAAATTCATCTAAAGTTTTCAACTCTGGATCTTTATCTTGATAGTATCTTCTTAAAACTTCAAGAAATTCAGCGACACAACTTTCAGAATGTGGTAATCGACAAAGCATTAAGATGAAGCTTCGCCACCAAGTTGCATAAAATGGTACGGTTGATTTATTCACTCTTCCAGCTGCACTAAAAATATTATCTCTTTCTTGCTGTAAATAAGTGTTGACATCTGCTGTAATATCTTGAAGTAATAGTTGCAAATTAGTATGGATACGATGACCCTGAAATGGAGAGAAGCACATAGGTGAAGAAATTTCTCGTTGAAAGCATAATTCATGATCATCATAAATATTTCAATTTCCTTTGTAGAGTTGCTAGGATCTAAAAAACAGCTACAGCTTCGAATATAGCTTACCCTGGCATAGTCAGATGACCATTGTTCAAGATGTGGCTCATTCTTTGAGTAATAAATATAAATGGTTTTTATGTTTTTCAATTCGTGTGTTCCTGATGCAAGTTTTTCAACAAATTGTTCTGAACAAACACGAAAAGTATTTGTGTCTTTAGTTTGTTCCATGTATTGTAAACACTCATTGACATTATCAAATAGTTTGGTGTAATCAACTATTTTTCGGAGCTTACCAATTGTAATCAGTGATTCAGACTGATTGACCGGATCATTTATATTTGCATCGCACCATATTAGTTGATGAGCTTCAAGATTAATCCGATTTCGGTCAAAGAAATGTGCACGGCGAGTCTGTGCTACGACTGGTGTAGTTATTGCTGCATACACTGAATCAGCCTGAGCAGAGGATGGAATAGAAAGAGAGTTACTTTTAGCAGATTCATCTGATGGAGTAAGCGAAAAATTCTTCATGGCTTAGCATCGAACTGGAAAGATGTGGTATTCAAGCAAATGTCGTAATGTAGTTGTTATTATGAAACTATTTTTGTGCTTCGTTGTGCGAGTCACATGTAGATGGTAAGTAAATAAAATGAAATTGCAAATTTGTTCTTATGTAGTTGTGGATGTTCACAGAAGAACAACAAAAAAAAAGACCGATTTATCGTTCTCTTTTACTCATAGTGGAAAAGAGAAAAAAATCAAAGATGTATGTATAGTCTCCACATCTTGAGGGTGAGGGCAAGGGAGGGGGATAGGGTGAGTTTACTGGTACATAAAGAAATCCAAGAGAACAGTAGCTGACTTCATCTGTCCAAGAGAACAGTAGCTGACTTCATCTGTCCACGAGAACAGTAACTGACTTCATCTGTCCACGAGAAACCAACTATCCCGAAAAGCTGTATCCACGTGAATATGACTCGGAGAGCACGAAAGACTCACGAAGAAAGGCAACCAAAGCAGAACGAGAATCGAACCCACATTTTCCAATAACCAGTTGGCTGCTCTACCTTCACTGAAAAAAGTCTTTATAATAATCAACGGATGGACTTGAAGCATTTTCTATCAATCTTTACGGAATTTATGATGATGTCCGGTACCCTGCGAGGATTTTTGAGCTCAAGAGCTTGTGGCAGTAAACAAAATTGTCGCAATTGTCTTGAATATCGTATGAGACATTCTGAAGCGAATCAACAGGTTTCAGAAATTATAAGGAACTTTGTTATGCATGGAATCGCAATTTGTCATTGCGAGACCGCTACAATTAATATAAAACTTCCAGTCGTTATACATTACATTACGAAGCTGACACATCAAATCACAGAGAAATGCATAATATACCTTTTAGATAGTCTCATAGCACGAACACCTCTGTTCGGGCGGTGTTCTACTTTACGTGGATTCGAAGTCATCGAAGGTCATGTGCATACATAAGTTTCAAAGTCATGGAACCGAGCGAGTGCAGATGAGCGTTATCTTTTTATGCACAAAGTTCCACGTTTTCGCATTATTTTTGAGAAAAAGACTAGCTCTTCGCTTAATTTCAGGCATGGCAGCTATTTTGAATTTTTGTCAGTAGTAGGCATACAACGGCATGTAACCGTAAATAACCGCTTTATAACAACTTAGTAGGGGTCAAAAACCTACTTTCGACTTGATTGGATGAAAATGGAATAGAATAGACACTCGACTATGCGGGGTCCGAAAATAGCAATGAAACCTATAACCTTTCATCACTTTATACCTTGTAACCTGTAAATTGTAACCGATTTTTGAACAAACGGTTTTCTAGAACACCTTTGAAATTTTTCTAAATATGCAGTTCGATAGAGCATCAAATTCTGAGTAAAATAATGTGTCATACAGGCTTCCGCAATACACGTAAATCGAGAAATCCAAACTCCAAAAACGACTGAATTGACTTGAAATTAATGAATTTTCGCTAGACTTTTTCTTCAGCAGAATCTCGAGCACTGCAGTTCCTTTACCAAGCATCTAAGAAATTTGAGTGACACATCATTTTACTCAGAATTTGACGCTCTATCGAATTGCATGTTTGAAAACTTTCAAAGGTTTTCTAGAAAACCTTTTGATCAAAAACCGTATTTTTGAAAAAAGCGTAGTTTTGTTTTCGTTCAAAGTGGCCTCATTCGATATCAAAGTTGTATATTCTATGGAAGTTTCCTCCGTTCTTTTAGATTTTATTAAGTTTAAGATCGATGTACGGTGATTTTATTTGTCATTGTCAGTTTTTAGATGTGTAGTTATAGGGGTATTGTGAGGCGTGTGTTCTCATTCAGAAATGCTTTAGATGCAGAACCTATCCGGAAAAAGCGGTAGTTAGGAAAAAACTTTTTTTTCTCCTAGATCATAGCACCAAGTAAAAAACGTTTTTACTGATCGATAGTTAAAACACTCTAGATTCGGAGTATGCAATTTTTACAAAGTTAAATCGGTTTAAGGGCCTCCCCCCCTCAGAAATGGCGATTTTCGGTCAAAAAGTCAGTTTTGAGATCCGCACATGGGCAGATAGCCTGATGTGTCTGCTTTCACAATCTGTATCGCTTTTGGTTATAAAAGTGGTTTTTCGTGGATTTTGAACAAGTTTTCTAGGAGACTCGAAAAACCAGATCTTCAAATAATAGATTTTTCCTGAATACTTATGCAATTAAATTTTTTCTGAACACACAGATTTGGAGAGCAAACGCTTCTGATCAAAATAAGATCTCGCGCAGCTCTGTTTGACCTTGCATCAAAAAACTACAAGCATTTTCCTAGAAGTCCTAAAATTCAGTATTTCATACAGCGTTTTCACTATATAAGAGTTACACTTGAAGTACTTCCCAAGATTTTTAATAGGGGTTTGTCGTAGAGAGTTTATTTTTTTTTTGTTTAAAAAGAGGAAAGAAGCTACATGGGCTGACAAGCGTCGATCTTTGAATTAGATCTTAGTCTTTTATCAAACTGAGGATTTTTTGGAAAACCTGGAAGGAGTTTCTGAGTTTTGGAAATTGTTGATTGCCTAGAAAACCAATAAAGGCTTAATTGAAAAGTCGACGCCGGTCGGACCATGTAGTTAGGTGTCTAGCTTAAAATAAAACAAACCCGAACTCTCCAGCTTGAAGTATATTAAAAAGTCTTGGGAAGTACTTCAGGGTCCTTTTTGGACACTGATCTCCGGAAAACTTCTGAACGGTAAGACTTGGATACAAAAAAACTTTTTCGTTCTCGTAACTTCTTAAGCCGAACATTAAAACTTGCGATCTGTCGAGATATTGTGCTAAATGTGCAAATATGGCGATAATGAGAAACTCTGTCGCGATATAAAGGTTATTGCAGTTTATCGCAGTCTCTCGATATCACGCAATAGACGAAACTATCGCGGTATACAAGTCATGAAGCGTTGTGAATACCTACCTGTATGTCAATAAACCGCGATAAAAATGTCTCGGACTTTATCTTGATAAAAGTATTATCGTTATATGTGCGATCTTTATCTTTGAAAACAAAACTAACGCGATAAACTCCAATAGATTTATATCGAGTATCATCGTGATAAAAGGGTCGTCTTAACAAGAAACTAAAAGTATCGCGATTAAATTTTTATTCCGATGAATGAGGAGACTGATTTTCCCGTGTTTTCTCACGATATGAAAGAATTCTTTCATATCGAACTATCCAAAGACTCTCTTTTCTCATATAAATCTATGAGTTTCTAGTTATAGTATGAGTGCTTTTTTCAAGGGGCAACTGTATATTGTGTTTCGGTATGTTTCCTCTTTGTCAGAGAGAAACTTTCTGAGTTTTCCACTAAACCCTTCCGGTTTTCGGGTAGAGATATGCACGGGTATCATTTTCCTACCCGTGTACATCAATAATATTCAATAATGTGTGCAACCCGACCCGACTGGAAGGTTGGGTACGGATTGGAAATTGTCGGGTACGGGTAGAGCAGTTACGATTACGAGTTCTATTTATTTTTAATTTACCCGAAAACCTGAAGGTTTTAGTGGAAAACTCAGAAATTTTAGTAAAAAAATTCAGTAGTTTAGCTAAAATACATGAAGGTTTGAAAAAATAGAATTACTTGAGAATGTAATGATAACTACAGTAGTACACTACCCGTAAACTGCGACGGCTAATTTGGTTAGTTATAGTAAATATTCTTTCTTGTTCTGTGACCTCCCCTATCGACCTAACGAAGATTTGACAAAGAAATGATTCGATGGCGGATCAGTCTGATTCAGACTCCGTTTACAGATCTTCGCTAGGTGCTCCAGCCGCTGAAATAATGAGGCTCATAGCTCAAGGGTCACACAAATCTCAAACTTTTTAATAATAAGGATTTGACATCAGTCGAAAAATAAAAGCTTTTAGCTGGAAAACAAAAGGAGAAACTTTTTAGGCATAAGTCAGGTAGGGGTCGAGTACAGGTACAAAGTTGCCGGTTTGGGTCGGGTATGGGTAGAAAAAAAATTTCGGTTTGGGCACGGGTAGGAAAATGGTACCCGTGCACATCTCTATATGAGAATAACGTATATAGTTTCTTGTGTTTTCTTTTACAGACCAATTTATAGCGTCAGGCAGTAAATAATTAATCAAATATCTATCCAATCAATATATATGTTATTCGTAAAAGTCCGATCTAGTTAATGTGAAACGGACTAAGCGAAATTCTAACTGGGGTTGAAACCAGTCGAAGCTCCAGTCTTAGTTCTACTGGTAATGTTTTTAGGCCAAAATACGATCGGAATGTCGACTACGCAGATCATGATCGAAAGGAAAATGCGGAGCCCTTTCATGGATTCTAGTCAAAACTGCGATTAAGCTGAATATGAGTCCAAACTGTATATTTGCTTTCCAAAAGAATAAGATTTTGACTGAGTTATGAATTTTTTAATTTTTGATGAAAATAGTCCAAAATGGGTTATTTCACCTAGTACAGCTTTTCACTCCGTTTTTGCGCTTTCTTCTGAAAATTAACATTGCCACGAGATTCAGCGTGTTCGATAACATATGTTTTCATGATTTCAGAAGGTCCCAGAACGAAGCATAGAGCAGTTCCATGGCTCCGAAGAAAACGTCCGGAGCTCCGGAACAAAGCAAAGTGAAACATTTATTTAGATCTTATTTTGTAGAAGACACTTTGGACTGTCTATCAATGAAAAAAAAATCGATTGCTTACGATGTAAAGTGTTTAACCTAGAAACTAGTTTTCCTTCCAATATTTCTTAAGAACCTTATCACAGATTGCGGCTCAGCGAACCACAATGGAGAAAATTTTTTACTGACAAAACTCTTTTCTAGGTGCCAAGTGGGGTACTTAGGAGGGAACACCCCCACATGTCCAACCCCGTTTGACTCCATCTTTTGGCCATAAGTAGACCTTGGTGAGGTATGAGAAACCCCAAAGGACTTGTGCCCTTGCGCGTTTTTTTCCGAGATATCAATTTTTTAAGATATGCGTAAAAAGA